TTGCCCTTTTTGATTATAAAATAACTTATTTAAATTGTTATAAACAATATTAATTAACAAATAGTTAACATTGATTCCTATTCCACTAAAAATTTTTTTTTCACATTTTCTTTTTAATTTAAGTCTATTTAAAGAATATTTGTCCTTTTTGATTAAAAAATAACTTATTTAAATTGTTATAAACAATATATTAAATAACAAATAGTTATGTAACTTATGCTCCTGTCCACCAAAAAAATTTTTTTTCACGTCTACTTTTTAATTTAAGTTCATTTTAAAAATATGTGTCCTTTTTGTTTAAAAAATAACTTATTTAAATGGTTACAAATAATATTAATTAACAAATAGTTAATTTTTGTTCCTTTCCACCAAAAATTTTTTTTTCACGTTTACTTTTTTATTTAGATAATGTTAAAAGACCACGGATATATAATATTAAATATTTAAATAAGTTATATTATAAGCAAAAAAGACATATATTCTTTAAAAGAACCTAAGTAAAAAGAAAATTTGCAACAAAAATTTTCTGTTGGACAGGATCATAAGTTAACTATTTGTTAATTAATGTTGTTTATGACAATTGAAATATATTACTTTATGGGTTTTTAATTGTCTGCTGGTAATATTGGATTAATTTGAACTGATTTAGAGCATGTGCAGTAACGGAATAAGAAAATAAACGTCCGTTTTTAAAAAATTGTGTTAATTTGTTAACTTTGATTGAAATTTGAAAATAAAAATTATAAACAATTAAAAACTCAAAAATTGTCCTCGAGGGATGTCTTAAGAATTTATTCTCCTTTAATTTAAAACAATAGGACAAACGCACCAATTGTCGAAGGTGAACCATTTGTCGATGTTATCATGGTGATAACCAAAAATATTGCCTAAAATGTTAAATTTTTTTGTGGTTATAATATTAACATATTATTTTTGACATTTATAACTCTTAAAAACTCTTAATTGTTTTTCACACTTAAATTGAAATTCCATGTTTAAGGCAAAAAAATAAATTATTATTAATTAATAATTTTTAGTATTATTGTGAATTATTAATAATGAAAAAATTTTTATTATTTTAAAAAATAGTTAAATTATAAATAATATAGAATAAATAATTAAATTAATAATTTTTACCATATTATTATGATAAACATATTAATTTATATATATATATGGGCAATTCTACGTGAGATTTCAGTCGACCTCTTAAAATCGGCCAAAAATATTTTTTTTCTATTCTGTATTGAAAAAAAACAGATACGTATTTTTTTTTTATTTTTTTGGAGGCCAAATTTTTGAGTTATGAATTTTCAAAATTTTCGCTTTTTAAATGTAGGTATATTTTTAATGTCAGATAACTAAAAAAATATTGCTTCTTTTCATTTTTTGACAAGAGAAAAAAAGTTTTGTTTTTCTCTCTACTTTTGAATAATCATAACAAAAAAATTTTTTTTTCATTTTTTATTAAAAAAATAAAAAAATTTTATAAACAAATTAATTTTTTTTAACTTTGGGTATGATAAATTTTTAATTTTCTTTTTTTAAAACATACCTGGAAATGATAAGAAGGTTTTGCAAAAAGTTTCAGAGTGGGCCTGACAAGTTTGATGGGTCCAAAAAAATAATTAAGCTGTCCGTGCAGGTCGCACGCACGTGGCACAATGGGATTTTTTTACAATTTATTATTAAAAATTGTCTAGAGCCTACAAATTTTATCGGATTTTGATTATTATTGAATTTTTAGGCTCTAAACAATTTTTAATAATAAATTGTAAAAAAATCCCATTGTGCCACGTGCGTGAGACCTGCACGGAGAGCTTAATTATTTTTTTGGACCCATCAAACTTGTCAGGCCCACTCTGAAACTTTTTGCAAAACCTTCTTATCATTTCCAGGTATGTTTTAAAAAAAGAAAATTAAAAATTTATCATACCCAAAGTTAAAAAAAATTAATTTGTTTATAAAATTTTTTTTATTTTTTAATAAAAAATGAAAAAAAAATTTTTTTGTTATGATTATTCAAAAGTAGAGAGAAAAACAAAACTTTTTTTTTCTTGTCAAAAAATGAAAAGAAGCAATATTTTTTTAGTTATCTGACATTAAAAATATACCTACATTTAAAAAGCGAAAATTTTGAAAATTCATAACTCAAAAATTTGGCCTCCAAAAAAATAAAAAAAAAATACGTATCTGTTTTTTTTCAATACAGAATAGAAAAAAAATATTTTTGGCCGATTTTAAGAGGTCGACTGAAATCTCACGTAGAATTGCCCATATATATATATATATATAACATACATTTTTAATAATTTTTCTATAAATAAATATGATACAGTCAATTTATTATGATAACACTGTATATAACGGTCCCATGATTCAAAAGGAAGTTTAAGCGAGGTCGCTTTCAAGCTTGCGTGGCTATGCGGTATGTGTATTCGACTTGCGTCCTCGAGGTCTAGGGTTCGGTCCCCCGTGCGTGCGATATTTTTCCGTCTTAGTTTTAAGTGTTTTGTGTATAATTCTTAATAATGTTACATAAAGTATAGGTTTAAATAATTATTAACAATAATAATAATTATAAATAATTATTAATTTAAATAAGATAGTCTGTCTAAATTAATGAAAGAAAATAAGAAAAATATTTTTTTTAAAAACTTAGTCCAATAAAAGCAATTCTAATAACTATTTACATTTTTAATGACACTCATAAAAGTTTATTTACTACAAAAATATTAATAATAATCATTAATATTGAAGTAAATACTCCCCATTCTTTAATAATCAAATAACAAGCTTTAATATAATAAAATGCAGTCAGTATTGAAATTCTACCTGGGTAGCGAAAAGATCGGGGGAAATCCCATGGCCCCGACCGGGTCCCGACAGGGCGGCCAGATCGGGCAAAGTGCCATGGCCCCGGTCAAAATTTCTGCACGGGTTGCGAAGGATATGAGCTTTCGTACGCATATATATCATCACGGAGAAAAATTATTTTTAATGATTACAATAGTCTACATTACAGCGCGGATATGTGACCACTTTTTGGAATGATTACGAAGACTATGTAATGTGTTAAGAATTTAGTAGGAACGATTACTATAGCTGTTGTAAGGGATACCTTCATGTTTGTACTCCTTACAACAGCTATAGTAATCATAACAAAAAGTGGTCACATATCCGAGCAGTAATATAGACTATTGTAATCAGTACGAATAAATTTTTCTCCGTGATGAAAACCCGAGAAAAAATTTTTGTACGGGTGATAAAAAACCAAAAAGTACCCAAAAAATGGCATTTTTCAATTTTCAAGGTCAAATTTCTCGGAAACCTAGGGTGATGGAACAATTCTGATTCGCGTTCAGCATAAAAAAACACCTATAAGAATCACCCTATGCGATCCCAGAAATAATAAAAAAGTGAAATTCTGTTGCACTGTGTTATGATTAAATTAAATATATTATTTCTTTAAATGAATCAAAAAATATATATGTTTCAATTAAACTTAAATATGTTTGACTGTGCGTCTAGCAAAGAAGAAATATTGTTTGAATCAAATAAATTGTTTTCTCAGTGTACTTTATTAACACACTCCAAAAGAAGAAATCTTTGGATCAATCCATTAAATTTCACTTGAAATTGTAGCAATCTGATGTCCTTAGAAAAACTATGTGTAATGTTTAATATTCCATTTTTCTGAAATGTTTGTAAATTCTTAAATAATTATTACTCTTACTTAATATTATTAAGTACTTTCAATGTATATACGTATAATTACACATGATGTGTTGACTTTTTAATTTTTTAATGTAGAAATGCAAAAAATTGAGCCTTTCTGGATTTTCGATGATTTTATAGTCCCACATATAACTTGCCAGGTGCAAAATGAACAAATTTCTTTTTTGCTTTAATATTTAAGTTGAACCTTATCTTCAATGCTATGAAATTTTTGCTACGGATAAAAAAAACTGCTTCCAAAAACAAATTTGAGGATTACAATAATGCAAATATACTTTTATGCTATACACTATTGAGATAGTCAACTGCAGTTTTATAAAATCATTTTAACACTCAAATTTTTTTTCGGAAGTAGAACCGAACCGACCGCTAAATCGAGTTTCTGGTGTATTGTTATAGGTATAGTTATGAACTGAAAAGATATATCAGAACTGATTCTAATACACATTAAATTAAATATTTAATGATTAAGAATTAATTAGTTACTTTGTTTAATATAAATTTATTTATTATACTCTACATTGAAATGGAATATAGGAACTATATATTTTGTTTTGAAAGAATATTAGATATAAGAAAATTCTTATTACTGCGAAATTACTTTTCTCAATTCAACTGTTTGAATCAGTAATAATTTCACTGCGGCTTACAGTATATAACATTATACGATTGAATGTCAGTGAGAAATTTACTCAAGTGCTACAGTCGCTAAATTGGAAAAATTTTACCAGTGACATTTCAGTGATTAAAATTTAGAAAGTGGGAGCATTTGAAGCTTATAATTTTTCCAAACTGCTTGTATGTTTTTTGAGCAATAAAGAAATGCGTCTTCAATTCTAAATTTCTAATACAGTATACGCATTTAAAAATCTACACGTATGAGCTTTGATAAAAGTGTCAATGCGACAGATGAAGTGAAACCAACGCAACACGACCAAACTGTTTAAATAAATTGGCCATATAAAAAGGCATACCATAATGCGCGATGGATATTTATTGTGTAAAAACAAGCCGGGGTCGAAACACCTCGCGGCGAGTTCTGGATTCCAGCGAGCTCTCTCAGATTAGAGTGATTCGTGTGAAATAAAGCGGAATTTATTTGACTCACAAGAAATTAAATAAGTCGCAAATTGTTTTTCAAAAATTGAGAAAAAATTGTAACGATTCAACTTTTTTCAACTTTTTCATTTAACTTATTACCTTCGTCGAATGTATATTGACGATAATGAATCTGAAGAAAATTTTAATTGAATATTACTTACATCTGCTGGAAAGAAAAATCTCTATTCCAACATTTTGCAGGAGGTAAGATCGTGTAAAGATGGCGCGGATTTCGGAAAAATACCATTTTCCATGCAAATGATCGCAGTACTTTAGTATCTGAAACAGAAGAAAAAGCGTACAGATTATATTATATGCGGTAAATAAATTAAAATAATAAATCCCAAAAAACTTGAACTCTACATAATAGTCAACCATTGCATTTGCTTGTTTGACTAATTTTTATTGCCGTTTTATTAAATACATGACATGCAGTTAATGTCGCATAGAATCAGGTTTTGCACTATCATTAAGGACGAAAGTCCCTCCTTCTGGAATTATGCCGTGCAAAAAGGATGTAAGAGGATATTTATTGTCGAAAAAGGATATAAAGTTATCATGCGTATGCACTCAAGTGTGATATAGTGAGCACGAGGGCAGATTGCAAGATGGCCGACATGGTGGGAGGAGCCTCCTGTCGTGTCCAGAATCGATCCCAGGACTCTCCGGACTTGCGCTGCACTCATTGCTGAGGAGAAAGGAGTCAAGAGGGATACATTGTGTTTGCACATACACGGAGTAGAGAAATTAAGAGGACCCAGGCAAGCCACCAAGTAAATCCTATAATTTACTAGACTTACTAGCCTGTCTCAATAACAAGGCTTTCGATTTTCGGCTTTTTTAATGAAAAGACATTAGCATGTTAATTCTGTTTGGTTTCAGCCATTTCTTTATATGTACTGGTTCTTTTTGTGATTTATCGACTTCATGTTGTGTACACGATTGTCTCTCAAAGCTGATTTATAATAGGAGAAGTAAAAGACCAAACAAACAAGAGCAATTTGGATAACAGAGTCCACTGCCTTTCAAGTCGGATGTGTCGTTGACAAGTCGAACATAATGATGATGTGTTACAGCAAGCTGCACGTCAAAACCTAATTACTCAACACTAATACATGTAGTAATAAGCCGCTTTAGATCCCTCGGGACCCCAAATGTCCCAGAGCTGCTGCGAGACAGAGTTTGGCCCACGCTTGCTTAAAATACTATCTGAGATTCATATGGCAGGAAGTTGATGTTTCTTTTCCTCGATAAATTATTAATTTTTTTAAACCAGTTTCTGTATTTATAGAAATATAAAGTGTAGCTAGATTAAAAAATCTCCTCCAAAACCACTGCAGATGTTATTGTTTAACTCTTGTTTCACTCTTACTAAATTATGCGATAAACAGAAAGAGCAATCGAGACCACACGCAGTGCTTGTTGCGGTGGAGCAATGCTATTTGAGCTAAATAATAGTGAGCCATCGAGTGTCAAGTGGGACAATATTAGATCTCCCTGTATTCTTGCAACAAGCATGCAGCTAGATGCATCCCAAGTCCAATCGGCGCCCGGGGTTGAGCAACAAAAGGTGATGTGATGTAACAACATGTGTCGCGTTCACAAGCCCCCTCATACCAGAGAGCAGAGTAGAATAGGGATGCCACTTAGCAGTTCACCCTCCGCACTATTTATGTATAGAAGATGGACTAGACTGGGCCGTGTGCTGCATTTCTATGCGGTTGTTCTGTTATTTACAATGGTGTAACAAACAGATTAAACGACTGGACTATAATGGACTCGAGCCAGCCTTCAATCTCATCTTTAAGCCTAATCCTTGTCACATGAAAAATCGTACTCATTGTATACACTAAATTATTTCCATGTTTTTTGCTTGTCCTTCTTTTAGAATAAATAATAATACGCCGTTCATAGTCACTAATTTTTAGCGGTATACTGACAATTAGTCAAATTTTACTCATTTTACCAATTCACATTCAGGGTGTTAATTATGAGGAGGTAAAAATGAAATCACTTCAAAAATAAGTTTTTTTTTATATCTTAAAATAAGATGTAAGATGGAAAACACACATATAACTTACATCTTAAAATAAAATGTTTGTAAGATGCTTTATACGTTTTAGCAGACATCATCAAGATATATTACAGTTTTGTAAAGTATCTTAAATTAAGATGTTTCTAGCTGAATATAGATGATTAGCGATAATTTACTTGGGAATTGTAAGATGTAACAAAAATGTAAGTTACTAAAAACTAATATGCATAAAGTGTTCTACATATTAGTCCATAGTTAGCCTCAAAAACTTTATTCCCAAAAAATATGCTGAAAATGTGTACGAAGCTACTTTTAACATATATAATATTCTTTGCCAATTATATGAATATGAACTGATAAAGAAAATCTGTTTTGATGCACTACATTAATAACGTTATTAATTAAATAAATATTATAATTAATGATTAATAATTAATTTTATACATCTAAACCTCAAGAAATTGTTTTTTTTATTATTAACCATACCAATAAATAAAAATATTCGACAATCAAGTGCGGAACACTTATATTTTGAGAGGAAAAATTGAGAGGATATTATAGAACCCCAGTAGCACGTAATATTACAGCAATATTGAGAACACTGCCTTAACATTACCAATATTGCCTCAATGTTGCTGGAATGTTCTTAACATTATACGTGCTACTAGGGAAGAGGATTTCTCTAATTATGAAATAACTTTTCTTAGGGAGCTATTATATGGTAAAGTCATTGTAAGCTTTTAAAATTATTAATAAATTATTTTTAAAAATATTTATGCGCAGTAACTTTCTATGTCACTTCCGGATGCGCAGTTAATTCTTTTTAACAAGCCCTACTGGGGTCTTTTACATAATAGAGCAAGTCATAAAAGTTGAATCAAGAAAATTCAAAAAATTATTATTAATACTAAGATATGAAACAAGTTGTTCATTTCATGACCATTTAGCTTCCTCAATACATAAATATTTGGTAAAATTTACACTTTCATATGCCAATTGCTTCTTTTTTTATGATAGAATAATCATTTAAAAATATTAATATTAACATTAAATAAATTATGAAAAAATACAAAATTTGAATTTTTTGTGAAAAAGAAAAATTTCTATTAATTTTATAAATTTTGATAAAAAATATCTTTTTTGCAACACTAACCTGTAAAATTGAATTTTACACACAGAAAACTGTGTGTAAAGTACTTCTTTTTATAGCGGTGTGTAAAGTGTTACTTTACACACCGCTAGCAGTGTGTAAAGTGAATTCCAGTGTGTAAAGTGATTTTCAGTGCGTAAAAAGGTTACTTTACGCATTCTTGTGACTGTTTGATGAGAAACAATGAAATAATGCTTTTAATTAACAATTTACAATCACATTTTTTTATTTTAGCTTCTAGAATACTTCATTTAACAGTTCCCCACTACACCTAAAGTTGCAGTAATATTAGCAATATTGCTGCAAGTTTAGTTGTTTTAGTGTTGCAAAAAATTTTGTATGACACTCGTGCGTAAATCAGATTATACTTGTGTGACTTGCAGCACTCGCCTTCGGCTCGAGCTGCAAACGTCACACTCGTATAATCAACGATTTTACGCACTTGTATCATAAATAACTATTGTATACATCAATCGATTCGTTTTCTTGTCAGGAATGTAATTTTGAGAATAATTAATGAAAATATTAACAAATACAAAAATTATTTACAAAAATACAAAAAAATTTTTTTTTTGAATTTTAAAAAAATTGTGTAACAAAATTTTTTTTTAGATATTTTTGAAAATCCTTGTGTCAGATTTTAGGTATTAATGAGTGCAATAAACCTGCAAAATTTCAGGACAATCCATTAAAATTTTTTTGAGATAATTTGTACACAATTTTTGTGACATACACACACACACATACACACACACACATACATCTGGACATTTGCTCAGAATTGAATATACATATGTTAAAGATGAAAATGAGTCCATATAACTTTCTTTTGAAAAATTGAAAATCGTCACGAATGCAAAGCTTCCTCATGAGGAAGCAAAAAGGATCAGTAAAATGCGTTATTTTAAAAAAATGTTTAAACTTCGAATAAACTTTTGGTTTAAGCATATATATTTGATTTCTAAAAATTATTTTTCAGTTATAAAAGTATATATAGCTTTAAAATTTTTATACTTTTTTCATTCAACTTTCATGATTTACATTTTCTAAAAGAAAGTATATGTATTAGATATAGATTCTTGTAACAAATCTGAATTCTACAAAATAAAATATAATTAAAATGAGCCTATGAACTCTCTAAATTTGAATCAGTTAAAATATATAAGTTTCTGATTTAGAAGCAAAAAGTCAATCGAATCACTAATTCAAATAGTAATTTTTCTATAGGTATACTGGTCATTTATCTGAGGCACTACATTTAGGTTGAAATTTTTGAATTGATGCTTTTAAAGTGTATATATGGAAATTTTTGCGTGAGAAACATATATACGCACTCTGTACGTGTTATTTATCTAATGGGACATAATGGGAAAAAGTGTAGATTAATGACGAATAGATGCTGAGGCACGAACTGCCTCTTATCTCACTTCACCGTTCACCAATGTTTACTTTAACTATAATGCCTATTGGGGTAGCTGAAGCATCAGATTTACAATGTATTCGAAACACATAAATAAGCATTAAATGTAGAATTTTAAGTTTAGAATATTATTTTGCTTTTTATTTGTCAATTAATAAATACCGTAGTGATTCATTCGGACGAAACGAACCGATAGACGAACGAAATTTTTGTTTTGCAGTCGACTTGACACCAAACTGTCATTTTGCATTGTTTGACAAAACGAGCTTCTCGTCAAATCAAACAAACCGATCGAACAATCGAAAAGCTTTTTTTATAATAGTTTTTCATCTATGAAGTCAGAAACACTCAAATCCAAGAATGTTTTGTTGTCGTAATTTCAATAATCATCATTAAATTTATCTGTAATTCATAATTATAAATTACATTTTAATTTAGTAGTAAATTCAAATTTATCAATGCGTATTAAACGAAATAAAACTTATTGTATTAGGTTTCAATTAATCTATTTTTCAATTTAATATTTTATAATTATTATAAAATTTATTGAAAATAATATTACTTCAAATAAAGAATCTTTTTATAATTTAATAAAATAAATATTAACAAATCTATTACATATTATTAATTATAAATATTCACATTGAATAATATAACAATTAATTAGTTATAAGAAAATTTATAATAACAAAAAATTGATTATATTAAGTATATTTTGGTAATAGTTTGAAAAATGGTTTTAAAAATTTAATAAATTAAACCTATTTTATTTTTCAGTTTGTAACGTTTGTAATATTTTATTTTTGAAAATAGCCTGTTGAACTCAAATAATTAAAATAAAGTATTAAATTTAATAAATTAAAGTACTCCGTTTTTAAAATAAATAAATTTAAATATTTCATTAATAAAGAAATTAAAAAACGACACAAGGGCATATCTCTAGAACCTTTAACTTTTCAATGAGAAAAAATTCGCTAATTTTTTTTTTAGCACAGTATTGAAACTCTGTCTACATAAACTTTAAGAAATAAGCTTTCAAAATATGCAAGTGGACAGATGAAATGATTCGTCTTCAAAAAGTTATAAACTATTTAAAAATGCGAATTAAGTATTTTCAACGTACAACAAAAAAATATTTAACAGGTGTTTGTTTTTTAGAATCGAAAACAGTTGAAAGTAATTAACTAAGGGGTTATAATTTATAATAATAATTATAGATATTATTATATAATATATTACTTTTATATTTATTATATTATTACTAGTCATTAACATTGCTTTTCTTTTATTTTTTGTTTAAATTACTAAAAAATTAAATTGGTTTTTATTTTAAAAATAGATTTTAATTAAACTGAATTGTAAAAATATGAAATTATAATGTATAAAGTTTATAAAGTTTTACCTTGCAATTTTCAGATACATTTTATTTAAATTTAACACTCATAAACTTTCCAATTTCTATTCATTTTTTTCTATTTTTCTTTTTTCTTATATCTAATTTTTTTCAGTATTAATTTTTTTGGATCATTTCACACTAAAAAAAAAGTTTTACTTTTAGCCTGTTTTCGAGGCTGAATTTAAGGTGTAAACGGAGTCAGCCCCATTAAACAAGGACAGACTTATGTGAAATACATGGGCTGAATTTAAGGTGTAAACGGAGTCAGACTTTTTTTTTCCTGTGTTATTCTGTGTAAAAAAATTAAAATAAACATTGAAAATTAACCTTCAGTTTTATTTATTAACAGTTTCTATAAAAAAGTAAGAATCGACAACTTCCTACTTAACAATTTCTTTTCTAAAAACTTTTGGTCGATTTTAAGGTCGACCGTAATTGACAAAATATATTTTTACATTATCTTTGTAATAAAGTATTTTTTTTGAAGAACATTCACGGGATGTTAAATGGCACATGCGAAAATATATGCAAGCACTTTTCAAATACTTTTATTTGATTTTCGTGGAGTATATCACTCGAATTATGGTCGTTTTCAAATTTTGTACGCACGTCTTTTCTGTTATTTAAATTACAACAGTCATTACAACATTTACAATTACAATGTCTCAAAATAATTCTAAGAACTTGAACTTTTATTTCCCGTAAGTCATTTTGATGTGCATGCCATTTGTCTTATTAATGAAAAATAATAAATATGTCGATTACGATCAAAAAGGTTAAAGGTGAGGGACAACTTTTAAAAGCTTATAACTTTTTTCACAATTGATAAATTTTTAATTTTCATACGGAAAAGTGTTCACTGTTTAATTAACTTTAAAAAGATGCGTCTTAGAATTAGTAATTCTTATTCATTACGAAGTTATATCGTAATGGTTTAACCCATCCGAAAGTATGGTTAGGGACAAGCAGATATTGTAAAAAATCGGGCACTCAAATTGAAATAATTACCTATTTATCCTTATATTAAATTAATGTAAAACCTTTTGGAACTGATTCATCTTATCAAGCTCTAATATTTCCAACAAAAATAAAGTAAAAAGTTATTGAAATTATCAAAATATATGCAAGGGACATGAAAGTTAAAGGTTCCAGAGATATGCCCACAAATAAAAAATAAATATATTTGCAGTTTAAATAAATAATTATTTTATTATTAAAAAATTAAAGAAAAACGGTAAAAATAAAAAAAAAAAAAATCAAATATATCTGTAATGCGTGAAAGTAAAAATTTTCAATAACAATTTTTTGGTTAACTAAAAATACATTTTTAACATATTTTTTTTTATTTCTAACTTTGATAATTGTCTTTTATTAAGATTGATGTCCATATTTTAGACTTTTCTTCAATTTATTAATATCTATATTTATAGGTTGTACCTATTCAATATTACTTTTAGAAAGTGAAATTTGGCATTTTCAACTTAACAATATTTCGGTGGAATTCTATCGTTTGAAAATCGAATCGATACAATTCGAAATTAAACAAAAGATTGTGCGAACTGTTCGTTGTCAAACAAAGACACAAACGATTGTCAACCGAACGAAAATTGTAATCATATAATCGTTTCGACATGAATCACTATAAATATACCTATTATTACTTGCATGCTTTTTTCCTAAAAATTGCGCTTTTTCATATATATAAGAATGACTCACCTAATGGATGATTCATGTAGTAAAATCACATATTTCTAACTATTAAAAACCAATCTTCTCATTGTCATACTGTAAAACACAGTAAACTTGATTATTGGTATCGATGAATTAATAGCAAAAACTTTGAAGCAATCACACTCAGAGAAAAGTTTTATTTAAACATAAATACACGGAGAAAACTGGATATTCAAAAGTAGATATTGAAAAAATAATATATATTATGACTCTTAACATGAAAAATATTAAACTTTAATATCTAGATATTCAAATCACATTTTAATTATCTAGATAGCTGTCCCTATATGTTAAAGAATAAAAATATTAAACTTTAACATCCAGATATTTACCTTAAATATCCATTTTTCTCCGTGTATTTGAGTTAAATAAACGTATATTTGTCTCAGACCATTAATGTTTAAGTCTTCATTACAAACAAACTATTTGAAAAAACTGATTTTATTGTTACTCAAGAAAAGACGTATATTAGTTATATATATAATAATCAATGTCAAACTGACACAAGCATAATCTTAAAATGATTTGCTTATTAGATAATTCCCTTTCTTCATAGTAAACTTGTATGAAATTTAGTAAAGTTATATTAGAATTTAATTAATATTCTTGATATTTGATATAATTATACTAAATTTCACAAAAGTTTTTCTAAATGTTAGTATTTTTTATATCAAAATTTCACTTTGTCGCGCGCATGTTTATCATATAAATTGCTGCGATGCAAAATTTGATAATATTTAAATACTTTTGCCTGATTTAACCAGAATTGCAGCATTCTATTCTATTAGGGAAGAATTGCAGAGAATAAGTGAAAATCTCTAAGAAATGTAAGCGATATACCTACTACTTTAAAATGTATTCGTAAAAGAAATAGTGTGAAATCGTCAGCTTGCTACTCTAAATTGATCTCGCTTATGTGGAGGACTGAAAAAGCTTCATCACCGGAAATAATAGGAATCCCGAGCATAGCGAGCGGCAGTGAGTGCTGTGCGGCAAAAAAGAATTATAGCATCAGGCTGTTGACGATGTTGAAAATAATGCTCGAGATGAATAAACGCACTTAGGAATCTATCTGCGTAGAAGCGGTGTTGGAAACATTCATTTTGATTCACCGATCTCATCGTCAGGGCGATGTGAGTTATGTGGGCCACGTGCGTGTTCTCATACCTTTATTACCAAGCCTCACACGAGATAAACGCACTGCGGCATTCGACTCCGCACAAAGGTTCCAGACAGAGAGACGCCAATGCGCCTCCGGCTTTCATTAAATTTACCATCATCAAGTCCTTAATAGAAAGACAAAACATGACATATATAACTTCAAAGCGACTTTGCTACCGACGTTCAAAGTTATGCACACTACACGGAAACTCATCTTGCGCATGCTGAAGCCGTTACACACACACATATATATATATATATATATATATATATGCTCAGCATCCGAATTATTATTGTCAACAGCATCTTAATGTTTACGCAAATCATTTCAACTGATGGATGGCAGCCACTAAAATTTAGTGTCATGTATGATGATCTGAAATTTCCCTTTCTTTTCTAATATCATATTTTACAATTATATGAAAATATTAATTGCTTTTTTAAAAAACGAATACATCTGCTTTATTTAAGAAACTGGAAATAAATATAAGAATAGGCTTTTATTATGTTGAAAGTCAGGAAAGCTGTTACTATGAATACTCATCTATATTACAGAACATGGACAAAAAATTGTGAGGATTTGTAAAAAGGTACATAATGAGAGAGGAGGTCACACGAGATCAAACAGTTTATGGGATCTAATAGAAGGGACATATTTAAAAATATTTGTAAGTTTACCATTCGTCCTGGATTAGTTGAGATTACTTGAGGATATATTAAGTATATATATATATATACGCATATGTTCGTGTAGTTTGATTTATAAAATAGTGAACATAGTAAAATTAGTTTTTGTGATTGAAGAGAATTTTACTGATTTCATAAAATATACATATATTATAATATTCCTCTGATCCTTGCATAATATAATATAAGAACTACAAAAATAAGTTACGTTTTTCAACATTTTTTTAATGCTTAAAAATAATAAAACTATATTATTTTAAATAATAATTTAATAATTAGAAATAATAAAAAATTAAAACTCTAATGTTTTTTTAAATAAAGGGTGTGCAAAAAACACAATCTTTTAAATTTCTAAAGAAAATGAATTACAGTTATTGCAAAATTTATTCGGGGAGACAGTTTAATCTAAATTAAACATTCAAACGGGATTCTCTTCACAATGATTTTTTTTAAAGAACCAACACACCCCATAAACAATTTTTTATACACATTTATCTCAAAAAATGAAAAAAATACAGTGTTTTTGGGTCAATTTACCCCCGTAGAAAAAAACAGGAGGTATAAAAATGTCAAATTTTAAATGTTTATTGTCTAGTTTTTTATAATAATTTATAATAATTTATCGGTAAACACGAGCATAATATCGGCATAATATCGATTTTTTAGTTGTTGAGGTCGCGTAAAACACTGAAATCACTCCTATATAATATGAGAAAGCAATAAAAATAAGAAAATAATGTAAAGTGAAATGTGTTTGTTAATATGAAACATATTTGTTATATTAAATAGGATAACGTATAGTAGACTTTACGCAATCTCATTATACGCATTTTGTGGAATGTGCTGCCCTATGTGCAGCAGGTACACAAAAGAATGAATCAGGCGGCTCTTGTCGCAATGGAATATATATGTATATATACAAGGCGTTTCAATATGCGATCTTGATACAGAGAATCGTTCGTCTTTCTTCAACAGATTCCCCGCTGAGACGATGAGAACTCTATCCTTTTTCTTGAACGTAACACCAGCGAAAACACCGGTCGCAAAAGGGACACTGATCTTATCGAATCGGTTCTCGTAGCTCATCAAGAATTTCAAGTTGAAATTCGCCGAGAGTTAATGATCTCGAATTTCTACTTGAGCCGAAATTATTAATGTAGACGAAAAAAATGTCAAATGAAATCTGTGCTTAATAAGACTTTCAATAAAATATGTATATGCAATAAAAATTAAAAATACTCGAGAACTTGAGCGAAAAGATGAGATTTTTATAAATTTCTACAGGTTAAATATATAAGTAAATTTTCCATCGCATCGAGTAGAATTGAATAAAGATATAATTAAAGCTTGAGAATTATTTATAAATCACGGCTTTATAGTATATAGATATCCTACTGGTATTATGGTGGAATTATGTAGCGGGTGTACAAATAATTCGGGGGATAAACGAATTAAGTCGAAATGGGATGATGAAAGGCACATTTAGGATGAAACTCGGCCCTTGAGTTGGCGCCGTTCGAGGGCTGATGTAGCAGAGCGTTTTGACCCCTCGAAGCAGAGCATGACGCGTGCTACGCTCATGAATCAAGTCGCATTAGAGGACGAGCTGCTGCTGCTGCTACTGCTGCCGTTGGGGTTGGTACCAATCTTCCACTTGGACTTTGAGTAGATTGGATTCTCCAGCTTTATTCAATTATCCGTGAATGAAAGAGTCTCGCGGTTTATCTGGCGTTGCCATTACAAAAGTAAAGTTTCGCTTCGAAATAAAAGGCACATTGCTTCTGTTAACTGTTTCGACTTTTGCTAATGTTGATGACTTTTTTTAATGTCATTACTCAGTTATACAAAAGAAAGAATTTCGGGTTTGTCAACCCAACGATGGTTTGATTTTCAGTGCGGTTGGAAGTATCAGCAGTGACAATCAGCGTGACATTAACAATAAACAATTGCAGACTGCAAAAGCACGGAATTGTTGGGCGCAGTGTGTGTATTTACGAACACGTGCGGTTCGGATAAATATGGTCCGCGCTGCACACACAATACAAGCAATAGCACTATACCAGTGAGGTGGTCTAGATAGATGAGTCGCGGGAAGGCGTGGTTAATTCGCGCAGACGCCACGTGACCCTCGGCTAGAAAAGGCGGGACTTGGACCACACAAGCCACAACACGGCGGCACATCTCGTTGCACGCCGCTGCGGATACCGGCCGGCACCCGCTCGACGAGCAAGTGACTCAAAATGTAGTCTGCACCGAACAAGGCTTTGGAAGATGCTCGTGCCCCCGGACACTGCGGCCACTCCGTCCAACAGGATGCTCTACCAGATGAACAAGTACTACGCGGAGAGAGTCCAGTCTCGAACGGGTCAGGTGCAAAGGACCATCCGCGAAGTGTGCAAGGTGGTGCAGGATGTGCTGAAGGAGGTCGAGGTGCAGGAGCCGAGGTTCATCTCGTCTCTGACCGAGAGCAACGGACGCTACGAGGGCCTGGAGGTGATCTCGCCCGGTGAGTTCGAGGTCGTTCTCTACCTCAACCAGATGGGGGTCTTCAACTTCGTCGACGACGGCACCCTCCCGGGCTGCGCGGTCCTCAAGCTCAGCGACGGCAGAAAGAGGTCCATGTCCCTGTGGGTGGAGTTCATCACTGCTTCCGGGTACCTTTCGGCGCGGAAAATTAGGTCTAGGTTCCAGACTCTAGTTGCCCAAGCTTGTGACAAGTGCACTTATCGGGAGTCAGTAGAAATGATTGCGGACACAACGGAAGTAAAGCTGAGAATTCGTGAGAGATTCGTCGTGCAAATCACGCCGGCTTTCAAGTGCTCCGGAGTGTGGCCGCGGTCCGCGGCCCACTGGCCCGTTCCGCACATTCCCTGGCCTCACTCCAGTTTGGTGGCCGAGGTGAAGACCGAGGGGTTCGACCTCCTCTCGAAGGAGAGTGTTGCACTCCAGGGGAAGCAGTCGGCCATGGAAGGCGACGCTTGGGTCTTGTCCTTCACTGAGGCCGAGTCCAGACTGCTGCAGGGAGGATGTCGAAGACGCTGCCTCAGTATCCTGAAAACCCTGAGGGACCGCCATCTCGACCTTCCTGGCAATCCGGTGAGCAGCTATCATATGAAGAATCTGCTGCTGTATGAATGTGAGAAGCATCCACTTGAAACAGAGTGGGAGGAGAGTTGTCTCGCTGACAGAATCAATGGAATCTTTCTGCAACTGATATCATGTCTTCAATGCAGGAGGTGTCCTCATTACTTTCTGCCTAACCTCGACCTATTTAAGGGCAAGTCACCTGGTGGGTTAGAGAATGCTGCGAAACAAGTTTGGAGGCTGACGAGAGAGCTTCTAACCAATAGTCGAGCTTTCGAGAAGCTTTAGTCCAATATTTTCCCTTCGCAGAAATTGTATGTCATTATATGTATGTATATGTGAATTGCATAGTAGTTGCAATTCGATTCCTTTCTATACGCTTAATTTGTTTATGCTGTATATATAGATGTTATTTATGACAATTCAAGAAAACCTACATGCCATTCCTTTTAAATTTAATAAAAATTTTAATAAATATGTTTTCAACTATGCTATATGCGTGTAAAGCCAAACCTACAAAAGTTTAGGGATTTTAAGCTCAAAATATACTTTTTAAAATTATTATTTTCTACTTAATAATGATTTTGAGAAATGTTTCACTTAAAGTTACAAAAATAAGGAAAAAATAATTTTTATAAACAAATATTCAAAAAGGTTTTGTTTAAATTAAACTTAAAATATCTACATATGCTATATAGTCAAACAAGCTTAAGTTTAAATCGAACGTATATATTTTTTGTTTAAATCAAGACGGAAAATATGTTTGAATGAAATATAATTATTCAAACAAATAATATTTTTGAATCAAAGCAGTAAATATTTTCTATATATATTGAGATTAAGCTTAAAAACTGATTTTAATTAAACAAAATCACTTAAAATTATTTTTGTATTTAAATAATTATTGTTTTCTCAGTGCGAATAAAGTAAATTTTATTATATTATATTATTTTCAGAATGAAAATTTCTATAGGTTAGAAGTGTATTTTTGTAAAAATTAATAAATATAGCATTTCTTCCGAAAATATAGTAAAAATTGACAGAATTCAAGTTCTATGAAGCAGTTTAGATTTTACTTTGTATAAGTTAGAAAAATCTGTATTGAATTTATTAAATTCTATATGAATTAAATATGCAATACCAGAACTGAAATTTAATTTACATTTGTATTAAGATTAATATACATTTACATTAATTTTGACAATGTAATTTGTATTACATGTAATATAAATGTATATTAATCCTAACAAAAAATGTATATTAAATTTCAATGTTATTGGTATTACGCATACATTTACTTCATATTATACAACTTATTAAATTTAATCAAAATTTTTCCAACAGTGTATAGTATTCTCTAAATCTGAATTAGCGATAAGTATATATATTCTTATAGCACTTATTTCAAAAAGCATAAAGCGCTAATTAACCATTTTTTCTTTGTATATTTTGGAGGATTTTTATACACATGATATATATTATTGAAATAAATAGAAAACTCTACTGATATACATTTTTTATTAAACTTAATGTAGAAATAAAATCTACAGCAATAAGGATGATGAAGCGCATTAAAATATATATACTATCTCAATTAGTTTTTTAATGTAGGTATATATGAAAATAAATATTCATTAAATGTCTAATAGTAAACTATAAAAAATGATTGTAACGAACCTCTTTTAAAGATTTTAATTTTTACAAGTAAGCCATAATATTAATTTGTCGGTTACATATTTTAATGGATTTAGCCATATATACGTATATTCTATACGCTGAAAAAAATGTCTATTTTGTAAACAGCAAAGTGGCTATATATAGTAATTGAAGTCGAAACTTGTTAGGGACAAATAGTTCAAATATAATAAGTAAGGGTGATGTGCAAAAGTTTTCATATACTATTAAAATTAACTATTAGTAAATTTTTAGAAACTGATTAAGAAAGTGCTAATAAAATTCTCACTGATTAATTAGCACATAAAAGCTTTTTGAAATTAGTGGTATATATACTTATCGCTATATATAACAGTATATATATAGTTTTCTTAAACTATATACTGTTAAAAAAATCTATTAAAATAAATAGTTACACTGTAAAAAAATGATATTGTCAATTCCGACATACTCGTATGGTTAGGACGTATAGCTGAAACAGCAATATACTGTATATTTATGTTCTTAAAATACATAGTATTGGTGTTCTTCACATACATATTACTGTCTCTCACATACATATGGCTGTTCTACACTGCGTATATAGCTGAAACAGCAATATTGTATGGCAGTCCCATATCCACCAATACAATATATGTGAGAATTGACCATATTTATGGCAGTACCATAAACATATTTTTTTGAGTGTATAGTGTTGTTCAGATATATATATATATATATATATACTATTGCATTAATTCCAAAACATTTTTTAAAGTTTCGTACAGTTTCTACTCTGTACTTAAAGCGTAGGTGTTTTCCAAAATATATTAAAAAGAGATAAATTTACACTGCAAAAAGAAACATCTTAAAATACATTGTAGTCGCACTTTTAAGACGATTTTTAAAACATCTTATTTTTCCATCTTCTAGCTTAGAAACCAATGTATTTTAAGATGATTTTGATAACTTTTTCGAAACAACTTAAAAGTGACTATACAAAAGTATCTTATAATAATATGTCTTTTTTTTACAGTGTATTCGACTTGGGGGTGAATGAAAAGAATCTAAAGTTTAAGTTTTCACAAAATGTTTTAAGAAATCTGAAAAATTCACTGATTACAATTTAGTGCACTGAGATTCATTCAACATTTTTACTGATTCAGATTTAGAGTTTTCTTGTTATCCAAAAGTGCGCGTTTGTGTATCGCAGGGGTAACTCAAACGTTATATAATAATACTTTACTGTATATAGATAATTTTATATTTTGTAATTAATAAAAACAGACAAATCTAGTGAAATGAAATATTCTTACAGTGTATATATGCATCCTAAGTGAAATTTAAATAAAACTTTGAGTGAGACTGCAAATAAAAAAACCTTGATTTTAATATGCGGTCCTAAAAATGCTTCGAAATTGCGAATTATTGACAATTTCAGTCAAATTTTTAGTAAAAACTATATGTTATTTACTATCGTACTTTTCTGAAAACTATATTATATTTTGAAAAGAAATTTGATAAATTATGAATATATATATATATACATTTTTATACAAACACTGTTTATACGAACGATTATATTTACATAAATTAAACTGTTGAAATTTTTGCTCATTTCTTGCAACTTTTATAATTTTTGAAGTAAATTTTACTCTGGCGGAAGTAGTAGGGGAGAGGTACGCACGTTGAGACGGTCCGCACGTTGAGACACTAAGATATTATAACCTGTGTAACTGATAATACCAAAAATTTTATTGGCATTTTGTCGTATCATTAATACCAAACTTTTTATTTAAAAAAAGCGCAATAACTCCTGTTTTTTCGGTAGAACTAGAGCGAACCAATTTTTTAGTTAAAAAAAGTGTTTTTCAGAATTTCTGTTTAGTGTATTTACTGTATTTTTTAGTGGCAGAAAAAATTGCGGATAACATTTACTTATCAATTTTGGTTCTACTTTAAAGTTCCGACGAAAATTTAGACATACGTTAACATCTACAAATAATTTCAAAGCTTTAAAAAAATAACGGCAAGGTCTGCACGTTATTGAGACACACTGTGGTACGCAGGTTAAAACGCTCACGGTTTGAAAATAGTACTGTCATTAAAATTGATTTTGAATCCACAATTTTTAAGCGTTTTACATGTTCTTCACCTGTAAAAATTGCGAATATAAAAATTTCGATTAATTATTTTTGTGCAAAATAAAATTTTATTTTTTGATTATTTTTTTTAAGTTAATTTTTAATGTTTTAATTTTTTTTCTTTGAGCTAAGACCATCAAAATAAGTAAATAAACAACAAACAATTAGAATCTGACGTAATTATTCATTTTGTTTCAATTTAAAATAAATTATTATGGGTGTCTCAACGTGCGTACCACTTTTTTTTTTGGTCAAAAATAACATGTTTAAAAAATCAGCTATAAATTTTTCAATTTTGTCCAAAAAAAATAACTTTCTTTGGCAATGTTGTAGCCCTGGACAATAATTTTAAGAAAGCATTTCGAATTTTTCGCTAAATTTTGTTTTTTAAAAATTATAACTGAAAAACAGAACCCGTCTCAACATGCGTACCTCTCCCCTATACATAATAATTGTACGATATGTTTCTGGAAGCTTGCAGGATTTTCGTGCAATAATAATTGAATAGGTATAATTTTAAAGAACATTCCATCACTTATAAAGTTTATTACTTTTATAACCGTTGCTTTCTAAATCTGAATTAGCATTCTTTTGGGAAATCGTGAAATATAGGTTGTTTAAAAAAATTATTTTGATTACATAAATATAACGATTTTATCAATCGCAGTGGTCAAAATAATAATAATAAAACAATTAAGTTAATAAACACACCTAGTCATATTTGAAAAAGAACGGTTCTTTTGTTTTTTAATTCTATCATTATAGCTTGACTATATAGATATAAGTGAGTATGTGGTGACTTGAGTGTTTTATTTTTTTAATGATCTGTGTTTTTTCATATATGGGCAATTCCACGTGAGATTTCAGTCGACCTTTTAAAATCAACCAAAAATATTTTTTTTCTATTCTGATACGAATTTTTTTTCTTTTTTGGAAGCTAAATTTTTGAGTAATGAATTTTCAAAATTTCCTTTTTGTAAATATAGATATATTCTTAATGTCAGATAATTCAAAAAATATTACTTCTTTTCATTTTTTGACAAAAGGAAAAAAGTTTTGTTTTTCTCTCTACTTTTCAATAATTAAAACAAAAATTTTTATAAATAAATTAAATTTTTTTAACTTTGGATATGATAAATTTATATTTTTTTTAAAAAAACATACCTGGAAATGCTAAGAAGGTTTTGCAAAAAGTTTCAGAGTGGGCCTGACTATAGTTTGATGGATTTAAATCGATAAATAAATGATTAAGCTGCCCGTGCAGGTCGCTTATTGGAATAACAAGAAAATATAAACAATGAAAATTTCAAAATCAGCTTCTAGGGATGTCTTAAGAATTTTACCCCCTTTCCTTTAAGTTAAGACTAAGAACATTAAAATTTTTTTTCCTCTTGACAAAAAACACGCAGTGCAACAGCATTTTTATTTCTGGGATCGCATAGGGTGATTTTTATAGGTTTTTTGATGCCGAACGCGAATCCGTAATCAAAATTGTTTCATCACCCTAGATTTTTGAGAAATTTGACCTTGAAAATTGAAAAAAGGCCTTTTTTGGGGTACTTTTTGGTTTTTTATCAGGGTATAAAAATTTTTCCTATAGGGTTTTCATTATATGCGTACGAAAGCCCATATCCTCCTTAACAATTTCCAATTTGGACCATTTAAAACTATATCTATTTTTCGATGAGTTATCTTTGTTTCAAGTTCGCGTCGCATCGTAAAATCATCAAAAATGCCGTTTTTGAGGTATTTTTTTGTTTTTTATCAGGGTACAACAATTTTTTCTACACGGAGAGAGAATATATATTAAATTTTGTAAAAATATTTTCAAATTGGGGAAAAAGTGCGACAAAGCGAAATTTTGATATAAAAAATACTAAACTTTAAAAAAACTTATGTGAAATTTAGTATAATTATATCAAATATCAAGAATATTAATTAAATTCTAATATAACTTTAATAAATTTCACAAAACTTTTTTTAAAGTTTAGTATTTTCTATATCAAAATTTCGCTTTGTTGCACTTTTTCCCCAATTTGAAAATATTTTTACAAAATTTAATATATATTCTCTCTCCGTGTAGTGTTTCTATGATATGCGTACAAAAGCTCATATCCATCTCAACAATCTCCAATTTTGACATTTTAAAAATATCTATTTTTCGATGAGCTATCCTTGTTTGAAGTTCGAATCGTAACGTCATATGGGATAACAGTGAGAAAAATATTAACATAACATTAATATTATTAATATTAACCCATTAAATCTCAAGCAGAAACCAATGATTTACTAAAGCGAAACTTACATTCTTAGGAAAATTAAAAATAAATTGACCATTGTTTTTTTGTTTATCATTTCAAATTCTTTAACAATAATTTAACAAAAACAAAGATAATACTCATCGGAAAATATATATTTTTAAAATGTTCAAATTGGAGATTGTTGAGGAGGATGTGAGCTTATTTCGTATATACGCATATCATGAAAACCCCAGAAAAAATTTTTGTACGGTGATAAAAAACCAAAAAGTATCTCAAAAACGTCCTTTTTCAATTTTCAAGGTCAAATTTCTCGAAAACCTAGGGTGATGGAACAATTCTGATTACGGATTCGCATTCAGGCATAAAAAACCTATAAAAATCTCTCCCACCCTATGCGATCCCAGAAATAATAAAAAGTGAAATTCTGTTGCACTGTGAAATGAAAAGAAGCAATATTTTTTGAGTTAGATTGCATTCTCAGGATCAATTGAATTAATTTGCCTTTTGCAAATAGACAATTAATTTTCAAGTACATATGGTTTCTCCCCTAAAGAACACACAGCAAATTTTTCGAGTATTATTTACCTTATGCCACAGTCGCGAATTTTTTGCAAGTCTTGAAATAGAAAAATGAAGTATGACTCCATCGGTTTCATCAAGCCCAGGGCCGGGTTAAATTTCCTAATTGGTCCCGGTCAAAATTTCTACACATACAATTGTGCTTAACTCAAAATCGCTCGATGATCATGAAGAATGACAGTGCGTCGTGAAACGTGACGCATATAATAATGAATAAACTTTATAAAGCACATGAAAACTCGTACAAGACGAATCGTCGTGCAATTATTTTGAAAAGAAATACAATAAATCGAGGAGAATGACTCATGTCACTCGAAACTTGAAACTGTAACGCGATAGCTTCAGTACTCGAGGCAGATAATCCTCAACGTGGAATATCACGTGCGGGATTCGCCATATCGAAACTTTGGAAATAAATAAGGGAGTTCTCGTGTTCGGTCTCACCCTGGCCGAAGCCTCGGAGCAGCGGTAAGAAAGCGTCCTGCATAATTCATAGCCATAACTTAGGTACAGTACGTTACACGTACGCCTGCATGTGTGTGGTGGTTGGCAGGATCGATGTTCGAGGTGGTTCGAGGGCGGCGCGAGTAGGCGAGGTTGAGTCTTCCCCGAGGTGCGCTCATTGGCGGCGGATGCGCGGCTCGTGGTGTGGCCACGCTCGCGGGGCGGGAGTATCACCTGCCTCGCGTGGTGGTGGCCGCCGCCACAGTCTGCCACAGTCTGCACTCAACTTCAGCCTCGAGGCCCTCGGAGCGTCGCGCATCTTCAGTCCGCCTCAATGCACCAGTGCGCCGCTCGAGTGAGATGTTGAGGTGAATCGTCAGCAACTGACGTTCGTTGCAGCACTTGAATGATGTTGGTGCCATCGGACATGCTTTCCGCCTCCACGAAGATGGCCTACCAGATCAACAAGTACTTTGGAGAGCGGGTCATGACCCGCAAGAACCAGGTGGCCAAGACGATCCAGGAGGTCTGCCGAGTCGTGCAGGACGTGCTCAAGGAGGTGGAGGTGCAGGAGCCGCGATTCATTTCGTCCCTGACGGACTACAATGGACGGTTCGACGGTCTGGACGTGATCTCTCCCACCGAGTTCGAGATTGTCATCTACCTGAATCAAATGGGTGTGCTCAACTTCGTGGACGACGGCACTCTCCCTGGGTGCGCGGTTCTGAAGCTGAGTGACGGAAGAAAGAGGTCCATGTCCCTGTGGGTGGAGTTCATCACAGCCTCCGGGTATCTTTCGGCGCGGAAGATCAGGTCCCGGTTCCAGACCCTGGTGGCTCAGGCCTGCGACAAGTGCGCCTACAGGGACTCGGTGAAGATGATCGCCGACACGACGGAAGTGAAGCTGCGAATCCGAGAGCGGTACGTGGTGCAGATCACGCCGGCCTTCAAGTGCGCCGGACTGTGGCCGCGCTCGGCCTCGCACTGGCCCATCCCCCACATTCCCTGGCCGCACCCGAACATCGTGGCCGAAGTGAAGGCCGAGGGCTTCGACATGCTCTCGAAGGAGTGCATCGGGCTGCAGGGCAAGCAGTCTGCCATGGAGGGCGACGCCTGGGCTCTGTCCTTCATCGACGCCGAGAACCGGCTGCTCCAGGGCGCCAGCAGGAAAAGGTGCCTCAGCATCCTGAAGACCCTGAGGGATCGGCACCTCGACCTCCCGGGAAACCCCGTCACCAGCTACCACATGAAAACACTCTTGCTCTACGAGTGCGAGAAGCATCCGCACGAGGCCGAGTGGGACGAAACTTGCTTGGCAGACCGAATCAATGGGATCTTTCTGCAGCTCATTTCGTGTCTGCAATGCAGAAGGTGTCCCCATTACTTTCTTCCCAATTTGGATCTCTTCAAGGGGAAGTCGCCCAGTGGCTTGGAGAACGCTGCCAAGCAAGTTTGGAGATTAACGAGGGAACTGTTGACCAATAGCCGAGCTTTGGAAAAATTATAGTCCGCATTTGAATTTACGAAAATTATTATTTATCAATTCCAAGTGTTTTTACTCGAACGAAATCTGTGAAAAACTGAAAATAGGGTTTGCAGAAGCCATTAAAGCAGTACTGCATTAAATCAGTGTGTGTTAAACATTTTTCCCAATATTCTATATTACCTACAATTTACATATAGCCAAGACGTTGTAAAAACTGAACTGCAAGAAGAACTTGGCATATACACGCGCGCGGAATATGTTTCCGAATTGAGCTAAAGCTGCAATTTAAAAAAGTAATTAATAATATGGTGCTGTGATTGGATCGTGATTCATCGTGATTCATGCTCATGCCAATATGCCCAAATTAGTGTCGTGTTTCAAACGCTAAGAGCACATCAGTGAAAGTTGTTTCTTTAGTGGGAAATGTACACAAATTGATGACAAGTGGAGTGGGTGCTTGGTGGATTATAAACAACAATTTAGTGATGAAAAAACTGTTTGTTTATATAAGTTGCAGGAACAAAAAACAAGTAAAACTTTGCTTCCTTAAAAAATCTTGCAACACAATTTCCCTTATATATTATGATCTGTTGTAATCTAATTACTGAGAAAAATTAATATGGGATTAGTCGATAGTCGAGCTAATATGTTTATTCTAAATTATTAAATTTTAAATAATTTTCAATGTAAAAGAAACTAGTCATAAAATTTAATAACTTTGTTAAACCATCGTTTTTAATGTATACACGTTCAAATATATTTGTACAAAAAATCTTTAATTGCAAATATTCTTTTTGTTTCGAAAAATTTTATTAATTTAAAAAGGTATAATCACTCGACTAACGATAAAAGAATTACATAACCACGTTAAAATAATAATAATTTCAATTTTAACATGCAAAACTGTGTGTTCTTTTGACAAAAGTAAAAAATTTCTTTAAATAAAAATAAAAAAATTTTAAACAAGGGCCTATGTTAATATTTTTCTGGAATTGAAAGTTAATCAGTAATGTGGTTTCCTTTTTTAAACAAAAGCTTTTTTCAACTGAAAATGAAACATTTTTTACATAAGATTATTTTATAATCAATAATTTCATTGAGAAATTAAATAATTCCTTTATATAATTAAAGAATACATTTGATTCTCTTGAAAGCTATAATTTACTTGCCGTTAATAAGTTTTGGAGAAATATGAAATATTTTGTTGAAACAAATAAAAAAAAATTCTGAATGCATTTCGTTAAAAACAAATATTATGGAAAATATTTATTAAATATTATATATATATATATATGTATATTTATTCGCAAAAAGAGATTCAGACTGTATTATAAAACGGACATCGTTTGGGCATTTAATGACAAACTGATTAATTATAATAGTTCCTTTTGTAATATTTAATTAAATATTTATAAAAAGCGAATAAACGAAATAAAATTTGTTTACTCTTTAAAGAGTTATTTATTTGTTATTGTGTTTTTGTAAATAAGACACGAGTGAGCATTTCTATTTTGCGACGGCAATTTTGTCGAATATTGTCAAACAATCTTCAAAATATATGGATGCGCATGAGTGGATTAAAGTAAAAAAGAGAATTATTTTTCGCAACAGCGAATTTTTCATTGAATATTTGTTTTCGTCGTCACTGCAATTGTAAATATGATTCAAAATATTTATTAAAATGTAACAAAAGTAAAAATACAATGATATTTATATGCAAATGATGATTTTTTAATGAATTCCTATTTCTGTAATCGTTATTTGCACCATAATTTAGATTTTGTTTTTAATGAATAGAGATGAATCTTCTTTTTTGCACAAGGGGATAATTAAAAAAATTAATACTTTTTCACAGTTATTGAAGGATCTTATAATATAGTTTTTCCATTTGATTGAAATTTTTATAAATCTTTTATAAAATTTTGAACATAATAGTGAACGGAAAAATGTTTGATAATATAACTCTAATTTTTGGGAATAATAAATGTCACTATTTATATTCCGGTTTATGTATTGATAAGCTAATTGGTCTCTTCTATATCTTAATGGTTTCTTGTACATAGAAACATTAACAAAACGACAGGCACTCAAAGTTATTGTTATTCGTGATATCATTCCAGAAGAAAGGCGCGTTTTACTTCTAATTGCGATTAACTGGTAACATGAATGGTTTCAGTAATTTTTTTTTTAAATTCGGTATTAAAAATAACTATTGTAGGAGCTGTCGCTTCTTATCTTTTTAAAATATTGTTAAATACTATAGCAAGCTTTCTAATATGCAATATACCTCCACATTATAACAAACAGTTGTTGTTTTACACATCTAAAAACAACCAAGTTTAAGCCCATCACAGCTATAACTATATTGTATATTGATTGATTGATTGACAATTATTAATCATATATATATATATATATATATATATATATATATATATATATATATATTGAGTCACTGATTATCTGTTAAAATTTACTGATCTGCAGTATATAGAATTTCACTGATTTAGATTTAGAGAGTAAAAGTGATAGGCAGTGCTAATTTTTGGAACACTTTTTTCGTAAAATATTTTCAATAGATGAAGCTTATATTTTCTGGAGAATTCTAAAGCATATATTATATCATAAGGAAGAGAGGGCGCAGTGATGTCCAAAAATTTGTAAACCTCTATTTTTAAAATTAATTTGTATATAGAAAAGACAGTAATGTTATTTCTAACCTCACATTTTTAAATTATAATCTTCCAAGTGTTTTTTTCTACAATAATTTTTACAATATTTAGACTTTTTCAAAAATACCGACAAACTAGCCCGGCGATAATCAATAAGTGATCTAACATTAATATGATAGTCAGATTTCTCAAACTTTACACAGGAAAAAAAAGTCTGACTCCGTTTACACCTTAAATTCAGCCTCAAAAAGAGGCTGAAAGTAAAACTTTTTTTTTTAGTGTGTAATTATATATACAAAATTGGAGCACAAAATCGAACTGCAAGTTGAAGAGAGATGTTTTTTTCTAAAATAAAATGAGGAATGTCTGTGAGGTGCAAAAGTGATAATATTTGTTAAATTAATTATAATTTACTAGTATTTTATTATATTATTATTAATCGGAAAAATTTTAGAAAAAAGATTAACCTCTAACAATACTAATATACCAAGCCTGAGAAACTCTAAAAATGTGAATCAGCGTCAAGTCGCTGATTGAGTATATAGCTATAAGTACACTGAGAAAAATGGAGAGTCAAATTCAGAGGTTCAAAAAGTGTATGTTTCCTAGGTTGCTTATGAAGAGAGTTGAATAGTCCTTCTAAAATAAATTTTGAATTGATAATGGGAATCTACTTGTGTATTCTCTCCCATTATATCTGAGGGTTAAAAGTTGCGCAGAAAATGTGTACGATCTGATGCGCGCGAAATTATTTTTCTGACATTTTATGTATTTAATTTAGGGGTTAGGTTGCCATATTTATTCATTTCGCGCCGGATAAGGAAGGGATTTCTCAAGATGGTTAATTTGTCCCTCTGTTATAAACTCATTTTCCCTCCAAGAGAAATGGCACGAATATCTGTCAATGGTGTATTTGAACATTTAGATTGTTATCCAATAGCTAACTCTCAAATATCAACGATTTGTCCCTCCAGATGTTTAGTCCAATACTCCAGTTTTCTCAGTGTATGCAGTTCATTCACTGATTTTTCAGTCTATATATACGCTGATTGAATCAGCGACACACTTATCGCTATATCGATATGCTATTCGCCTATTCTCAGCGATTTTCCGATGATTCAAATTATTTAGAGAGCAAAAAAACATTAAATAAAAAATGTTTCTGATGTCAAATAATGAAAAATAAATCTTTAATGAAGCAAAAACTACCATAAACATAACCTACAATTTTTTGCAACAAAGGTTCCTTTCACAGTTGATTTTTACACCTTTCTAAAATGTCTTTTTCTTTTAATAAAATTTTTATTTTTTTATATTAAGTATACAACTGCTGATTTTTAACATGATTGCTTTAAATTTAGCACATTCTTTGCTATTTAAATTGAGCAAAAAAATATGATTTGAAATTAAACAAAAGCTGTCTTTAAAATGCTGCATCTTAAATTAAGGTACCTTTCATTGCTGACAATAAGACTTTTTTTACTGTGAAATATATAGGTTTCTTAATTTGAATTATGAGGCTGAGATTGCAAACATGACAAATTCATTTAAGAATGTGATTTGGATTTCATAATTAAACTGTTTTAACGGTGTTAAAAAGTAGTTGCGGGTCTATTTTGGGTTCGCCTTTCGCCAGAATCTATCCTACTAGAGACAGATAAATTTCTGATGAAACCTTTGTGAATGAGGGCGATTGAAATAAGCGATTTATGCGCGCGGCTTTTCAAGATTATAAAAACGTATAGTATATGTGCGTAAAGAATACGTGCTTACATTAAATGATTTTACAACCTTTAGAATGTGAGGAATGATTTATCACGAGTTGGGACACAGGAACGCACTCGCAAATAGTCCCAAGTCCAGGTACTTGTTTTTCATCGAGATTAGCCAGGCGCGTCCCATTCGATCTTTACCACCGGCGCGGCGCGTCACGGTCGTTGGTGTCTCTTAATTTTATTGGCCGTTCGGCCTTACAGGTCTCATGATAAAACAAGAGAAAAAGATATTGCTCAGGGCCTAACCGGTAATGCGACACTCCACTTTTTTCCTCTTTTTGCTTCTTTTATCAACTCTCTGCTTTATCTTTCTTTCTTCTTCCATACATAAATAGCAACGTTATTCTTTTATCCTTTTAAAATACAATAACATTCACATTTATGGTACTAACAATGCATTCTAACTTTTCTCAACTTATTTCTATCCTTCTTCTTTCTAAAGGAAATCGCTCATTACCATTGCTATATAAGAAATATTTGCACTGCACTTAATAATATAACACAAGCATGTGTAGCACTTACATCTTAAACATATACGCAGTTTCTTCTCAATCTGGTGAGCGTAAGGCTGGGTGTTTTCAACCCGCAGTAATGATTTCCTATTTAAATAATATAAGAAAGGCTTGAAATCATTCTGCAGAAACATACAAAGAATGGAATGCAACAAGAAATTTTGAAATTGAGCTTTGATGCTAACCATTTTGAAAAATAGTCTTTTTGCGATTTTAAAATATCAAATTTTATGCATTAATAAATATAAAACAACTATAATTTTTATAATACATTGTTGTAAAAACATTTTTAAACAAAACTTTTTATTAAATTATCACTTAACTAGCTTATTTCTGCAAAATTATTAATTAATTTAACAATAACTTAATTGATGAAAGCTTATTGTTAATGCCAAACTGACAATCTAGGTCTGCACAGTCAACTTCTCCATGACAATTCTGTGAATTTGAAATGAAAAGTTTGTGAAAAACAAAAAGTATAAAAGCACTTAACGAGATGTAAAATATTGAATTTTCACAGCATGAATCCTTTAATCGAGGCCACTTAGACTTAAGGTATAGATATCGACGCGATGTGAAACTGCGCAAAGTGTTTTGGTGTAAATAGTGCATCACGAGGATCTACGATTCTCAAAGTTGTTTGAGCTTTATGAGCGAAACCACTTAGTATATCGCTTTTGTGAGGTGGGGTCGTCGCGTTTCATGTTTAGGTAGATGAAATATTGATGAGAACGACAGAGTGTTTACTGTTCACGAACATTCTATATGTATAGTCATCGTCATGAATAATTTCGTGCATTTTTATTTTCATTATCAGGTGCGTAATAGCAAGGGTGGCCTCTAAGAATATTCGAGATACCAAAGCTTTAGTAAACTCCAGAGTAGAATCTATAATGGGAGAGTGTCTAACACATTGTATATGCACTATTGCACTGAAAAAATTTATATTGTTAATTTTGAGAATGGTTAGACTGAATGAAACATATAATATTGCCTATGGCTGATATACCAACAAACGTTGGAATTAACCATAAAGGACATTTTTTCAGTGTGACTCATTTTAAAGATGAGAACTAGTTGTAATGATGATAATAATAATAATAATTATAATTACACGACTCAGTATAATATCTCTGCTGCGAGAGTATCCTTTCTTAAAAAAGACATGGAGTGGAAAGGTCGAATGTATCGAAAAGTATCGAAGTAAAGAATGGGCAATGAGAATGTAAAATCTTAATAGAAGGGTGTTCTTAAAATTATTTGGACATGTGAAGGTGGCGCTGCAGTCGTATGTTATTTAAAAAGAGCGCGAATATATGAATTTTATTTTTGTTAGGACTCATAATAAATCTTATTTTGCATTGTCAAAAAAACGTCAACATTTTAAATATAAATATAAGCAAATTTTTAACTGAAAAAATTTGAATATTATAATGCCTGTATTATAATTAATATTATTATTAATGAAATAATGGACTTGGACAATGGACATATAAAAACTAGCACCGTAGACGGCCGCTTGCGGCCGTCGGAGGAGCTAGTAGTATATAAAAAGTTGATTATTTCAATTCACAAATGCGATAGTTTTCCACTTCAAAAATGAGTTTTAATTCGTTTTTTCCAATGCGGTTCAAGTTACTAATAATCTTTTTTATTCAAATATTACCTAATGTATTATGCTTCAACTTACGCCTAATTTTGATACATTTTTTAAGCAGAAAATAACTGTCAAATGCAATGAATCTAAAGATTAAAAAAATAT